TACCACATCCATATAGCATAGTAGTCTATTATTTATGGCAATCAGTTTTGAGAGCATTTCTACATTTTTTTACTTTGATTAAAATTCTATAAGTTGAATAACAAATTGACTAACAATAAACAATGATTAGTTCCTAGAAGCTTGATTTGATGTTAAATTGTTAGAGTTAATTATCTAATGGCTCGAAATGTAAGTTTCTTACAGTATCAAGGTGGATCTACCACTGTTTGGGTCAGCCAAAATAACAATAAAAGACGTCAACATTGTAATGTTTACATGAAATCATTTGGTTTAAAAGATTTATTGTAAACTTTATCGACAAAGTTTGATGAACTCTATAAATTAGACAGTATTATCCATGGTTACAATGTAAATTTACATGTTGTCTTAAACATCTAAAGATATCATTTACCATTCTGACTACTTAGCAATAATAATAATAATAAACACTCCACCCTTCATCTATGTATATAATAAAGAACTAGCAATATCGTCAATTTGTAGTTTTTTTTACAATTCAGAACGAGTAATTACCTGTACATGAAATAAACTAACTTTGCTAACGCTTAATTAAGTCAGATTTGAATTAGTTTGTTCATTCGAAATATATATTTTGTTTAAATTAATTGAGGAATAAAATTCAAATGTATCTTATTTGTGTTTTTTTCTTCTTTAAAAATCAATAAGATTTAGTTACTAAGATCCTTTGTGAATAGGATAAGTCAAATATTACCAGATTATTATAACACTTGTAACTTACCAGATATTTATGTATATATAAGACATAGTAACATGTTAAAACCAGTATCAAACAGTAATGTATTTAATGAACCTTTTTTTGCTGTTCGGATCATTTCAACTGTTGATTTAACCGTTTAGAAACTAATATCGACTATTTGTTGACTTAGATCTTCAGCTACTAGTGGTATTATTATTATTATCAACTTCATATATTTTCTTTTTTGCCACACATAATCATACTCATTGTATATTAATGGAAAAGATTGTTTTGATTGTACAATGATAGCGCTTCATTGAATATAGTCAATTAAAGCAAATTAAATGTTATTTCATTTTTACAAGTTAGAAAAACAAATAGAATTACATAAAATGGACAGTGTCTGAGGGGGGGGAGGTTGAAAGAATCATTGTGAATCGGAAACCAATGGGAAAATGTTTTGTCTTATGACCAAGAAATTATAAAATCAATTTGAATTTTAAGTATGCATTGCTGATAGACTCAATCCCTGGTCGGGTCGTGGATGGTCATGGTTAGAGCATCTCCTACCGGTATAAAGAAATTTTCCTACTGCTTATTTATAACCAACGGATGTAAAATATCAAATTTTAGATCGATACATGATATACTGAAGAAAATGTATATTTTCTGTGACTATGTAATGATAATGATGCAGCTTAGTTATATATTTGATTTTTCAGGCACATAATTTCCTGACTGAATGACTTTCCTGGCTGTTTGAACAAAAGTAGACAATACAGCAATTGAAGGCGACTGCTACCGCTACAATAACCTTTCGTATTCTCCATTATACTATACATCAATATTTGTATATCATTATCAAACAAATGCTAACATATTTATTTGTTCTAGATATTTATTTTGTGCGTAAAATATGATAATACATTTTCCATAAATCCCCTTATTGAAAATAATCATATGCTCACTAATGACTAGTTTCAAGATGGGTTTCCTGGAATTCTAGTGCGAAGCTATGACTAATAAAGTTCAATTCGTGTCGGGTGGGAAACAGTTATCCACCTCAGACAATAGATGAATAGTTGCACAAGATCATGGATCGACTGAAGTTAGATATTAACACCGTTGGATACCGGTTCAGTGGTCTAGAGGTTGTGTTCGAGGGCGAGACCGAAGGTCTTGGGTTAATGTCCCGTGTGCGGGATCTTGTATGCACAATGCTGAGAAGTCCCATACTAGGACGAAGTGGCTGTCCAGCACTTCAAGGTTCTCAATGGTGGATTCAACTGGTAAAAAAACTAATCTTCTTCAATCAACTTTTTTTAAAATAAAACTTCTTTCAAGACTGTTTTTCTAGTATTCAAAATTTTGTCAATCAAAATGGAGTTAAAAAACATCTGTACGTGCTCATTTACATTGTTTGACCATACTTTCTCTTGAGAAAATAAAATATAACTCTGACTGACTGTGTCTGGCATTATCAACAATTTACAAACCATGTTAAAATTGAATGAAGCTTGAATCTACAGCTTAATGTTATATCATCATCCCCAATTTTCAAACAACAGACAGAAAATAATGACATCATCTACTTAGAAACCAAGTATAAGTTATCGTATTAAAATCATAGATTGATCTGAGTTGGACAGACATTTAAAACCTGGAAACGCTGGATAGGAACTCCTCAGCACTGTACATCTGCGAAACTGTAAGTGGGAGTTGAACCCAGGTCCATCAGTCTTGAGCGCGAACCCAAATCCTCTAAACCGGCATCAAAATGTGTTAATGTCTACGTTTAACCAATCCAACTCATTTTACGACCATTTTCTATTGTCTTTCGTGGGCGACTCCTGATACCATTTAGCCTCACCAGTCACGGCTTCTTACTACAACTCCGTGAACTTACTCTCGAAGCTAGTCACTAGTGAGCACATAATTGTCAGTATGGAGTTGTGTAAGTTGTTATATTTCGTTGAATTCATGAATCTATGGTGGTCTAAGTTAAATTAGTTCATGATTTCAACCTCCTTACTAAAGTTTATTGGTAAAGAATACCAATTAACTACTCACATCCATATTGTATCGGTTTCTTGAACTTGGAATGGGGAATCGTTTAAAATACAAAATATTTTAAAACTACTTAAACTACTAGTTCAGTCTTATTTTACTGGCATAAAGTTATTCCTTAAAACTTGAACTTTGATGTTTTTGGTATCCGTTTTTTTCAACACCTTTTGAATCAATAATCCAAGTACACTAAAATGACCTATTGATAAGTAATCGATTACAAGTTAATTTAAAAAAAAAAACAAATTTACAACCAAACAACAAAAAATATGAAAAACAATTTAAATTTGGTTACTAAGGTTAGATTTCTTTTTTACTTGGAGACAAAACAAGTGAGCTCAGCTCAAGTGTAAGTTTATTTGACCCTTTCCTTTTTGATTGCCTACACAGTGAGAGTTTCATGGAGTGATCAAATCATAACTTGGTTAGTAATATCTTACGTAAGAATCTAATCGTTGTTGATAAGACGTTTTATGTTTGGAGATAGTAACTAAATAATGCAATACGATCTATTACGTAATTTGCATGTTTCCAAATCTACTCACAGTTGCGTAATCCATGTAATTTAACAACAGGTGACTATCACTCATCGCTCATGACGGGACTAATTCAAATGAACTGAGATTGATACATATGCATACAGTAGTGTTTGTAGACCATTCAATAGAGAATAATTGAGGTTAACTAAATCCCTTAATGTGTTCAAAGTTTAGCTCTTAATAGCTACACGACAAACGTATTTGATAACCATATAGTTACAGTTAATTTTCAATGAATGTTTATGACTCGTAACATTATGATCTGGTCAGCAACTTAAAAGTGTAATCAAATCAATAGTATGAGAAAGGATTATTTTATTAGGTTTTGTCTTTTACATCTTAACAAATCTATTATTTACCTAATCAAATATCTATGGGCCACAACTCATCATTTGATATGTGTAAGAGCTGGAATACTGTTTAGGCCTCCAAACTAAGGCAGGTGGGTTTCTTAGGGGGCCACTCTCCGAGCCTTCGGCCTAAAAGTTTGATCGAGAAGGTAGTGGAACAATGCTAGGAGACATAGTCCTTTGGTAGCTGGTGACCAACAATAGGTTCATACTCCAGTCGCTCACTCAGGATCTCGGAGCACATATGCAGGATTTTTCAACTACTCCATATCCACCAACCCATTTAAAGCGCCGCACATTGACTTTTTGCCCTCTCAATTTCGTAAACAACACACCGTTTGCGAGAAAGCAGTGAGTAGGAATCTCTGGAAATCGCTGTATACGCGTGGTCAATATGAAAGCATTTGAGAGGGAGAGCTGACTATTCAACCTCGAATGTACCAGGGGATTTGGTGAATTTAGTCTTCTTAAAAAATGTGCTGATCAAAACTGAAAGTGTACTTCTTGCATATTTGACAGTTGCTTAGTAATTTTGTATGAAGATCACCAACTAAACGGTTGATATTTGATCATATAGAAGTAAGTTTGCCGTGGAACATCAATTTCACCAAAAATACAAGTATGCTTTACATATAAATACCTGATTACACGAAATCTAATTTCAGAATATACAGTCCATTACCTCCAACTATTTAATATGGTTTAATTATATTAGTCAATATATTTCGTGATAGTTTTAAGTAAACCATTTCGAAACCCTATTAATTAGGAAAATTCCTTTAACTGAGGTGTTCTAACTTGTAGCATTTGTTGACAATTCATGAATAAACAATAACCAATCTTCACAATACTCACCACCACCACTACGATCATTTTCATAACAATAAAATTTTAACATAATAAAGACAGTTTCATCTTAGCATGTGACTATAAACATGTGAATATTGAATAAAAATACTTTTTGAGATTACAAACCGAAGTCATTAGGTAATTGCTTCGTCTTAGCATGTGACTCCTCACTTATGCGCTTCACGACTTCGTTGCGGATTAAACCGAATAAATTTAAGTCTCACCATCTGCGGTTCACGTTTTTAGTCAACGATTAATATGGAATCGGAAGCACAAGTACTATATACATATGTAGGCTTAAGTTATAAGCGTTATAAACAAAGTTGGTTTGTGGCTAGCAGTGGGATCCAAGACATACGTTTCGTCTTACTTAGGTCTCGTCAGTTGTATGTGCCTGCTACTCAAAGTCCCTAAGTGAGCATCTTTGCTTATTGTGCTTGTGTCTTAAATTATTATTTAAAAATTTCATTAACTCACTATTTTCACAATTTTTGTCAATTAAATCTTCGTCATTATTGACTTTCAACATATTTGATGTTTCATATAAATTATTAACAGATTTATTTTTGTTTATATCTTCTTGTGATCTTGTATTAAAATCATAATTGCTTGTTGATTTTCGTTTTAAATTTTTCTGGCTACAATGATTACTATGAATAGTATCGGTAGGAGTATCCGAAATAGATGATGTAATCACAGACGATACGGTAGAAAAGGAATTTTTAACAGTTGTAGCTGTTAGAGTTATACATGGTGCATTGACATTATTACTATTCATATGAGATGAAAATAAAGCATTACTTATGCGTAAATTAGTAGTGTTTGTAGTCATGGTAACTAATGGTGAAGATGATGGAAGTGATATCTGAGATTCCGTAATAAATGAAGGGAATGTATTTGACAATCTTGACTCTGACATGATGTTCGATTCGCCTTGACTATGTTGTTGATGATGGTAATAATGAGATGGTGCACCAGTTGGTGAATAGGGTGGGAAAATTGACAAATTATATGTAGGATTATTTGAAGGATGTGAATATCGAAATGTTGTATTGCACATATATCGATCATAATAATTCGATAAGTGATTATCATTATTAATAGTAGTAGTAGTAGCATTAGTAGAGTTATAAGTAGTACTTGTATTATGATGATGAGACGAATGATAAGGAAATATTGGATAAGAATTGAGTTTATGCCAAAAATTATAATTTGAAGCATTTGGTAAATGTTCTAACGAATGATTATGCATTGACTGTGTATGAATAGTATCATTTACATTGAATTGACGATTCATATCATTATTTATTTCATTATTTTCAGCACGTAAATCACATGGTATAATAGAATTTGTACTATTACAATTTCTAGATGAATCATATTCATTTGTATGTTGTGCATTATCTAATTTTAAACGTTTCATTGACATTTCATTAGATAATTGATTTAAATGTTTTGATTCATTAATTAAAGAAAAATTATTCAATTGTTCTATTTGTGAAGTTAATTGTTCATTTAACATAGGTGTTGTTGTTGTTGTTGTCGCCGTTGTTGATAAATCATTATTAGAATTATAATGAAAGAATGAACTAGCAACTGGATATGATAATTTTGATGTATTATTATTATTATTAATTTGTGAATAATAATTTGTATACATTGGATTTGTATTCATTAATTTAGAAAATCCCAAATCCATTTTGTTTCAGTGTATTTTTATAAAATAGATCATATTCATATTACTTGAATAAACAATTTTAGTCACTTTGATCTGGTAAATATGGAATTTCTATTTAAATAATAATAATAATAATTTTTTTAATTATATGAATATAAACCTTATTAAGTTTTTAAAAAAAATTTTTTTCAGCCAATCATTTATCTTGAAATTAATTAACCAATAGGAATATTCCTTTATTTTGTATCGCGTTAAATCCATTCATACTATTGGTTGATTTAATGTTTTATATCTCCCTTACATGAAATATTCAATATAATGATTGAATATCATCTGTGAATATTTAAATATTATTTTCGTATAGAAGATGATGATATATATATATAACAGATTGTTAACATCAAAGAAAAAAACAATATATATATATAATGAACATTCATAATTATTGATAGGTCCTGGGTTCGAATCTCTCGAGGCGGGATCATAGATGCGCACTGCTTAGGAGTTCTGTACTAGGTTTTCCATGGTGATCTAGCTTCGATTGACTAATAAATTTAACTATGAAATCTATAAATGAATTCGGAGTGGACTCTTAACATTAAAGTTTCAATGAGTAAATAAGTTATTTTAATATAATTTTTTTTAGTTATATCTTGGAAATATATTTAATATTATATTATCTGACTGTTTTCTATTTTAAGCTTGTATACTCAGATGTAAGTACTTTGGCGGGTTAACGTTTTTTTAGAGAGTTATTTTTCTACGGGATGGGGTCGCTAACCCCATGCTTAACCCTCCTCCTTTATCCGGGCTTGGGACCGGCAGTAGCTCGCGGAGGGACTCCAGGCGGAGTTATGTAAGTAAGTTACGTTAGAATAAATAACAAGCTTTCACACTAAACGATATTAATATTATATTCCTTATGAACTAATATTCAAAGGGCATAAAAATGATAATAATAACAAACACTATTTAACTGATCAATAGTGAAGAACTAAATATTGTCCAAAAAACAACACCTCTTTTATCATAAATCATGAAATGAACGAATTCGGATTAATCAGGCAATTCAGGTGAAATTTAGTGAAAATTTAAGGTCAAAACAATACATGACACACATACATAGATAGATATTCACATAACATTGATAAAATATGATGTTGACAGTGAAATATCTAAGTGATAATATTTAATAATTTATTCATTATAAATTTATTACTGTCATTGTTTTTTTATATCCACTTGTTACGTATTGAGTTTTTGTGACTTAACGAAAACTTAATAGTTGAGTTCATGAGTCAAATGAAGCTAGACCACCATGGAAAATCTGGAAGCACTGGATGGTCACTTCGTCCAAGAGTGGGACTTGTCAGCAGTACGCACCCACGATCCAACGAAAATTAGCAACACCAACATTTGATTTCAAGTGATCATTTGAAATCATGATTATTAAGCACTAAACACAGAATTATCTATCTATCTATCTATCTATCTATCTATCTATCTATCTATCTATCTATCTATCTATCTATCTATCTATCTATCTATCTATCTATCTATCTATCTATCTATCTATCTATCTATCTATCTATCTATCTATCTATCTATCTATCTATCTATCTATCTATCTATCTATCTATCTATCTATCTATCTATCTATCTATCTATCTATCTATCTATCTATCTATCTATCTATCTATCTATCTATCTATCTATCTATCTATCTATCTATCTATCTATCTATCTATCTATCTATCTATCTATCTATCTATCTATCTATCTATCTATCTATCTATCTATCTATCTATCTATCTATCTATCTATCTATCTATCTATCTATCTATCTATCTATCTATCTATCTATCTATCTATCTATCTATCTATCTATCTATCTATCTATCTATCTATCTATCTATCTATCTATCTATCTATCTATCTATCTATCTATCTATTCACACATCTATCTCTCTGGGTATGGTTTTGTCAGTCTTTTTTCTTTGATATTTTTCTTTGAAGCATCAAATCATCTGTGGTTTTTCTCAAGTAATCTATAATATTATTTTATCAATCACTCAGTAAACGTTTTCTATGTTATATTCTTAATAATCGAAATAATAATCTATTAATTTTGACTAATAAGATTGTACTCTGCAATATCTAACATTTTGTGATCATTGTCATCAAAAAATTACCGATTTCATCAAATTACCCATATGATGTTGTATACTGGAATCGTGTAAGATATTTTTTTTTTTAATAGTAGGTATTTGGAGGCCGTCGTCAGTGTAAATGTTTCATATGCATCTTATTAGCATTTATCATATTAGTTTATATTCAAAAATTAATTCCGAATCATTCATCTATTCATACTCGATTTAGTCTTTTTTAGGAATGAACAATTGGATGTTAAAGATGATACGATTCATTTTCGTTCGATAAATTTTCCCTTTCTTATCCATTTCACAATTCCTTGTTTATATACATTTTATGAGAAATCTTATGATTGGATATAGTCAACAGTTGGCTATGAGTTATTAGAGGTTATGGATTAGTGACCTATAATCTTCCAGCCGAAAATAACTATTATTGATAGTGTACCACAATGGTTAACTACACATAATAAAACATACTAAAAACTAATAAGATGGTCACACGAGGTCGTGGATTGTTTGAGGTTTGATATTAACACAGTCGACTACCGACTCAGTGGTCTACAGGTTAAGCGCTCACGCGCAAGAAAGATTGGATTGGACTCTCACGTGTGGGACTGTATATGTACACTGCTGAAGAGTTCCATACTAGAACAAAACGATCATCTAATGTTTTCAGGTTTCGAATGGTCGTCTAACTTAGATCAATTTATGATCTAAATGAATTGTATACCACCAAGTATGATAATTTGCTAACAACTGATCAGTTTAACGTATTCATTGTATTTAGGTGATAAAATGAAGAATTCAACTGACCTTTTATCATAACCTAGTGGAATCATCACACTAATGGTTGACTCTGATATACATACATAATTATGAATAATATTGTCTTATCTAGTTTGAATCAATTGATATCACAGTATTAATAAAAATGCAAAATCAAGTTAGAGTGAAAATTGATCAGTATGTTTATGTAAATATGTGTTCTCATTGTAAGTTATTGACTAATTGATGAAAAATACTACTTATTTCAAATTATATAAGTCTGATTGTTAAAATGTAGTGTATTCAGACGTAGTTTTGCTCATTTTGACCATTAAAAAAACCTATATCAAGAGTCTTTGTTTTCTTACGACACATTTACGCATTCAGAATCCCAGTACAATGTACAAGACAGTTAATTATCCATAATAATGACAGAAATAACATAACTCTACTAATTTACAGTTTAAACAATCAACATTGATGAACTCAACAAAAAAAATTATCATTATAGATGAGAAAAAAAAGAACTAGTGATCAACTTGATGTTGTTATAGCAACTGACAACATAACACATCAGTCATGTAATTTCATATGGATACATACATTGGTAAATACACATATACACAAATAAGTGTAAATAAATGTTGACTTGTTCACACTAACGAATTTCAGTAGTCAACTCATTCTTTTCTTTTTTTTTAATATAAGAAACAATAGTAATGTTTGTATTTTTATAAAAGAGATATTGTTTAATACAGCGTTATTTTTATTCATGCAGTTTGTAAGTATTTGTGTGTGTGTTTATGTGTCAATGAGAGAGTGAGAGTGAAATTATGGTTAAGTAAATCTGCATGTACATCATTGTTAGTTTTTAACAAATGACACCATCAATAATAATCAAAAAATCACGTAAGATTCAGTTTAATTAAACAATGTGCTAATTTGTATGTTTATAAATGTTTATGTTGACATGTAGATGTACATATGAACGAGTGCTTGGAATCGTATGATTTTATTAAGAAAGAATAATTTGAATATTGTGCAGTTAGATAGTTCATGTTGATAGTTATTCTATGGTTTCATCTGGAAGAATAGAAAAGATCAAATCGGCAAGTTCATTCTAGGTTAAAGACTATTCAATAAGCTTACAGCAAACACTTCATAGATATTTACTGAAATTCATTAAAAATAAATCTTTTTGATTGAGATCATGAACTGATTAACGTTAGACCACCGTTGGAAATTTGAAAGTACTGGACAGCCGTTTCTTCTTACAAAGGAATTCCTCAGTATTGCGTATCCACGATCCCACTCGCGGGATTCGAACCCAGGGCTTTTAGTCTCGCGCGCGAACGCTTAACCTACTGGACCACTGAGCCGGCATTCAATGGTGTTAGTGTCTAACATCAACCAATTCACGAAATTGAACAACCATCTTCCATTGTACTGAGGTAGATAATTGTCTCTACCCGACACGGATTAGCTCATTAGAACTCCGAGAATTCCCTCACGAAGTTAATCGTTAGTGAGCACATGTTAATTACCAGTATAGGGGTTGTCGACATTATTAAGTTTTTGATTGAGATAATGAACCGATTGATGTTGGACCACCGTTGGAAATTCGGAAGCACTGGATGGCCGTCTCGTCCTACTGTGGGACTCCTCAGCAGTTCATAATACATATTCTCATTGATTAACCACTGAATACTAACTAGTGTCACGTTGATAAAGTCTTTTTCTAAAATGTTTGAATTCTATTAATCAATTTTTATTGTGGTCACTAATCTATGTGAATTAGCCAACACCATATAAATTAAATTCTTCAAAATTTCGGGAACATCTTACTGATGAGTGCTAAATAGCACAAAATCTAAGTTAAGTAACGTAATTTACTGATTAACTCTAACAATCTGAAAAAAATACTCCCTTATGATTAGTATATCGGGTGGGACTATCATTTATGGACAAACCAATCGAACACAATATAACAAGTCTTGGATCATCGCGCGAAATTTTTTCGTCCATTTGGTTAAAAATCGCGGTGAAGACCTTAAATCTAGTTCCTAATCCTAACCATTAATTGTAGATCATAATTTTAATTCT